CCTTCCATAGACCATTTGTTGTGTTCTTTGTACAATTTTCCAACAACCTACCTTTTCGCACAAAAGAAGGAATATAATAGACCGTAATAGTGAACCTTAAAGAGTGATAAATAATTGTCCACACGAAAACTTCAGACAAAACAGCAGACAACAAGTGATATTACATATGGGGTATGGTATTGCTTCGAGAAAGTCAGACTGTACCCCTCGACGAAGTTCCTATTATATTATGTAATAGGAGGCGCACTGGTCAAATGCGCCTGATTAAGGAAGCAATGACCATAAGCAGAAGAAGAAGAAGAAGGAATGGCAACACCTCAGAGTAATAATTTTGTTACTCTGAGGGCAACAACGACTTTAATTGAAAAATTTGGCGCCTTTGGCCATGACATAACCTCAAATAACAATATTAAATATAGGAAAGTAATACGAAAACATGATTCGAGAATTTACATAAGTCTGCATAAATATATGTCTTGACAAAATGAAAGAAATAACTGATTACTTTTCAAGTCCTACTAAAAAAGTAAGAGCTAACATAGAAGTGTCGACAACTTTGGAAATACCAAAGAAAAATGCAATTGTAGAACATATAGAAGAGGCAGTTGTAAGTCATCAATCTCCTTGCAATGATTTGCCAGTTGTTGAAGAACATCCAAGAAAAAAAAGTAAAAGAAGAAAAACTGATAAACATCGTAAGTTGTCTGATCCTGCTGTTAAAACTGTTACAGAACTTTTTTCCACTAGTTGTTGTCTGCTTTCTCCCAATCAGCAGAGCACTGAAGGCGTAAATCTAATCCAAACTGAAACAGAAGAGGAAGATGTGGAAAATGTAAAACTCATTGGAAATATTTCATTTAAAGAAAATCAACAAAATAGTGACTCTGAACCGTTTACGCTGAAGGATGATAAAAAATCGATAAAGCCCAATGCTTTTCAGTTCATGATGGATAGTAGAAATAAAAGTATTGGAATGAATTCTCCTGGAAAAGAAATACAGGAAGAAAAGTCTGAAGATATACCCAAGAAGGATAAACTTATTGCCAGAAAGAACTTGCTAAGTATGTGGGCAGATAAAAAAAAGGCATCCAAAAGAAAAAGGACTGAAGAAGAAATTGATGAGATAATCAGTTATAAATTAGATAAACGAGCTAAAAGATTACAAAAATTATTGAAAGCTGAAAAAGTTGAAAAGGAAACAAAAGATTCAGCAGAAGTTTTTGTAAAGAATAGAAGATATAAGACGGCTAAGACTTCATATTCAATTAATGATGGAACAGATAATAATTTTGATAATGAAAACGTCAATTTACTGTGTAAAAACATATCAGAATTAAATAAAATGACACCAAACTTAAATAAGGGTGTTGGAGCAGGAAAGAAAATAGAAAATATGCCTTTTGTTACAATAGATAATGATAAAAATCCTGCTCAATCAAGGTTAACAAAAACAATATTGAAACCAAAAAAAGTAAGTTCTAGTAAATCTGAAAAAAGCAATTTTCACATAATTTCGAGTAGAAATGAAGTTATTGGTTCAGAGAAGTTTGTTGAAACAGTTAATCAGACTGGTTCAACCACTTTGACATCAAAAAAAAACAAGAGAGTTCTCAACCTTATGGATTCATCAAATAAAATAAATGAGGGTCACTCCAGCAATGTTACAATAAAAATTGAAGAGAAAAAAGGCATGAAGTCGGAAAAAAATGGTTCTACTAATTTAAAACTATCCAATAAAGAAAAGAAATCAAAAATAACTAGTGATAACTCGAATCAAAATTGTAAAATATCTACTCTTCATAAGTCACAGAGTTGGAAAATGAAAATAAAAGTTAACTTAGATGAAAACGAGAAAGTTTCCAATGAAGAGGAAAGTCGACAGTTGAGAAAAAGGAAAAATGTCAATTATAGGGATGGTTTGCCTATAGATAAAATTTCTGAAAACGGTAAGAATTACTAAACTTTAATTGACAATTCATTTCAACTTATTCATGTTTTATCAACTAATTCACCTCTTCAAAATATAGATATTACTTATTATCCACTGTTCACAATTCTGACAACAATATTTGTTGTTTAGATATACTTCTGAAGTTTACTGTCAACATTTATTTACCTTCTACATTCAGTTTTTCATTAAAAATTGTTTTTATTCCCAATTGTATCTCTAGTAAATTCATACCCAGTGTTACTTATATGTAACACATATTTGCATATGTAAAAAGTTGGCTTTTGGTTATACAAAATTTCAAATATTTTCGCCCTATTTTCTACACCACTCAAAGGGTCTGAAAAACTAAAAGTTTTAATTCATTCCAATGAATATATTATTTTGAAAGCAGCAATAAATAGAAAGATAACACTTTTTGTGGACACCACAATAATATGGCATAATAGAAACAAACACTTCATAAAAGAATCGCCTAAGACATTACCTTAATGAAGGAATGGTGTGATTCAAATCTTGAGTGCCGGCTTATGAGCTAGATTATATGTCAGCCAGATCAGCATTGTACTTCGTTCTTATCAAGTCATATTTGAGATATGGGATTGCATTTCAGGGAATATACGGAGTCACACAATTTCATTCAATCTTTATCCTGCTGCCTGTTACTCCAATTTGCCAATCACTTTAATTCTCTACCAAAAACGTCTTGATGTTACTCTTGGGTTCGTTAATGTCCTGAATGTAGCCAGAATATTATTCTGCTATTGCTTTGGGATTTTAACTTATTGTTTCATGCATATTGTAGGATTGATCAATTATTAACCGTTTCGGTACTTAACGTACATAAGATACGTCAACAAATGTACTACATAATATATACACAATCAAAATCATAATTTGTCATATATAAATGAAACTAAAACATAACTCTCACAACAGCACATGATATATGAGTACCACAGTTGTAGGGACAAGTACATAATGAGTATCTTGAAATTAGAATTATTATCCTAAAGAATCCTGTAAACTATAAAAACAATTTTCAATTAAGAATTTCTTAGCGTTATTCTTTAATATTTCATAAGATTTAGACATACTGAATAGAAAGTATATAAAAATGTACCCACTGAGAATTACTGGGGCATATCTCTGTGAATACAAAAAAACAAGCCAAAAACAAAGTTTTGAAATTTTTCATTTCTCCCTTATATCTCCAGATCAAAAAAATAAGGTAAAGTCGATTTTTTGTTATTATTCAAAGTATATAAAAATGTACCCACTGAGAATTACCGGGGCATATATTTGTGAATACAAAAAAACAAGCCAAAAACAAAGTTTTGAAATTTTTCATTTCTCCCTTATATCTCCAGATCAAAATAATAAGGTAAAGTCGATTTTTTGTTATTATTTAAAGTTCTCCAAAGTAGACAACTTTGCTACAATTGATCGGACTCTCTATTTTGTTCTGTTCATCAGACAGCATATCATGCTCAGATTCAGTCCCTGAAAGCATTGAATATACATAAAAAATGTCCAAGTGTGCGTTGAATTCATCACGAGTAAACTTCCTATAAGCGAGAATGGCAATTGAAGCATGTTTTCAGGAGAATAGGTATGTCTACTTTATATAAATTGGAAAAAGTGGAGTGGTGATACTGAAAGGTGGCTATCTGAAAATGATTTTCACGCAAAATGTTTTGAAAAATGTAAACAAATTATTTTTATTTTCTATAATGATGTACTCTCATACTTATTTTTAACAATTTTTCAAAAATAGACAATTTTAATGAAAGTAACAGGCTTTTGTTAAATATATTTTCTAAATTATTTCATACTTTTTAGGACCATTTAACATTATGCTCATGCAAGGCTCTGGTCACCTGAATTAGAAACACAGTGTAAAATAACTTGAGAAAGTGGTATTTTTTGTACCACTTTCAAAAAAATGCTTAATCAAAGTATATAACTTCAATAAATTGATGGATGTAGACGTTACTACGTGGTAGGAGATCATAATGAAGAAAAGAGAATTGAAACTTTCTATGTTTTTTACCACTTTTATTTGTAAATAATGTTACTGCAGTTCGAGTTTAATGTATAAGTTTGATAATGTCCTTATAGAACGAAACTGCAGTAATGTTAGTTACAAATAAAAGTGGTAAAAAACATAGAAAGTTTCAATTCTCTTTTCTTCATTATATAACTTCATATTGTAAATAGAAAATACTTCTGAAATAAAATGTTTCCACATTTTCATATATCTAACTAAAAACATTTGTTTCAAACTTGGGATCAGCAAACAATAATTAAAAAGAAAAAATTCAAAAATCATATCTGGCTTTCTGTGAGAAATGAATTTTCTATAGGAAATTAGTGAAATATATTCAATGCCCCACTCTGCACAAAAAATGTTATTTGTTATTTTCAGAGGCAACCGAGAGGGATACTCTTATTATATCTTCCGAGAGTGAAGAGGATTCAAACATTAACAAAAAAACAAGTAAAAATTCGAGAATTGCTCCGGTTTTCACAAAAGCTACACCCAAACCCAAGGAAGATCCTGGAGTAAAAGAGGCTAGGAGGCAGTTTCTAATGAGTGGCATACCTTCTTCTTTGAAGAAACTTAAAGAAAAACAACAAAGGTGGGTATTCATTCAAGAATTATCAAGTGAAATATTGTTTACATGAAGTGTCTTACTTTAAAAAATCTTATTCCTAACTATAAAATATCATTATGAGTATACTATTATTATTTGTTTGGTGTAATAATGAAAAATAGAAACTAGGTAATCGCTACCTAAAATTTGGAAATCAATGTAATCAATATTTCTATTTATGAATGTGATTTTTGTTTAGTCTTGAATGATTCAAACTCAGTTTTACAGAAATTTGCATTTTTTATGCTGAAATGTGTTCAATTTTATTGAAGTCCATTAATTGAATATTTTTTTTATTAGCATAGAAGAGCAAAATAGTAACATATTTCCAACCATCAGTCATGTCCAACAAAAATGTGACAGTAGATTTTGGAATTTACCGGATCCTGGACTGGAAATATATGCATCTGAACCTCTGAAAATAGATCAGTCAAATATATTATGTAAAGAAATCACCAGAAGCCACTTACCTCAAAAAATCAACATAAAAATGGAAATGGAGAAAATTGATAAACTAAAATTATTGTTGAATAAAATCAAGACTGATAACCCAAATTACCCTGTTTACAAATCTTTTAGAAGTATTTATGAAAAAAGTGGCAAAAATTTAACAGACAAAATTGCAAAAAAAACGTCTCCTAAAAAAACCAAAAAGATAAAAAAAAAGAAATTAAATTCTAGTGGTAAATTTGACGATGCTTCCATTATACCATCTGACTCAGATTCTACGATACATAGTATGTGGACAGAAAAATACAAACCTAAATGTTCAGATGATATCATTGGTAATTCTGAAGCTGTTAAAAATCTGAAAAAATGGCTTGTTATCTGGATGAAATACAGTGAAGATATAAACTTGAAAAGAAGGAGAACAGAAAGCAGTGGATCAGATTTCGATACATCAGATTACGATAGCAGAGATAGTACAGCTCTTCCTGGTAATACTGTGGTTTTGGGGGGTCCTTGTGGTAGTGGAAAAAGTACTGCAGTTTATGCCATTTGCAATGAGTTAGGTTTCAATATTATTGAGCTCAATGCATCCAGTAAAAGGACAGGTAAGGTTTTTCTCTTTAAAACATTGTGTTGAAAACTAGAAAGTAAATGTATCAAGCATCTACTTCATGAGAGTAAAAACAATAGGCTCAAAAATTTTTATCGTTTCAAAATTATATCTTACATGTTCTAAAATATTTTCTATTAGTTGTATACGAAGACCATGTGATATACATATTTTTCAATTCTTGGAAACCAGTTACAGGTTGACCCTTATTTAATAAAGATTGTCATAATAATAAAGTATATTCGCTTTATTATCATGAAGCATCTCAAATAATATATATTCATTCAAATATTATACAAGAATGATATTTTATACATTCAAAATATACTCCAAGATATATTCAAAGTTACCTTCATTCTTGCAGGAAAACGGCTTCTTCTGGAAATACAAGAGGCAACCCAATCCCATCAAGTTCGAAAACAAAAATCTCAATTTTTTGCTGAAAAAAAGTTAAAGGAGAGAATAGAAGACACAGAAAACCAAACGAATAAAAAAATGTGTGTGATTTTAATTGAAGATATTGACATTGTATTTGAACAAGATGACGGTTTCATTTCAGCTTTGACTCAGCTGATCACTACCAGCAAAAGACCTATCATTCTAACAACCACAAACTATGATTCAGTATTTGTCCAAAAATTCCTCAATGAGTATGAGTACATACCATTTTTATCTCTATCATCGTACTCCCTCTCTGTTTGGCTTCAAATACTTTGCCTTATTGAGGGAATATTTGTGCACAAAAATGATATAGGAAATTTATTGGAAGTCAACAAGGGTGATGTTAGAAAAACTCTTCTCCAACTTCAGTTTTGGGTGTCATCTGGTGGACAAATTTCACAAAATGAAATACCTATCAAAATAGAAGAAAAACGTAGCAGCTGTGAAGAGAAACTAGATGATGATGAAGAGCCTGATACTTTTCCCACGGAGAACACTAATGAGGATATAGATCCGTCCATTCACTACATTGGAAGTTTTGAGATATTTCATGTTGACGAACCATTTTCAGTTCCTTATTATTTGAATCTAGGAATGCTTTGGTGGAACATTCCAAACATCTTCAATCTTCCACAATCATCCTGTCAAAGAATCCAGAAATTTCAGCAATGTTCATACCTTGAAAAAACCAACCCTCTTACGAACAAGTTCAAAAGTAATCTTGAAGATAAAAGGAAATTGAATTTAGCCAGCAAATTATATGATTCACTAGCATTCACTGATGTAATGTTTAGAAAAGTTAATTACTCAGATAGTATCGAACCCATTGTGAAAAATATCAGTTGTAGTATTAGTGATAGTTTGGAATTAAGAGAGGACTACAGGACTTTCAGTGGAGATGCTGATTTTGTACATGAGATCACTCACGTCTTGGTTGATGGGCATATCAAACAATTTGGAGAATATCCCAAATTAGATATGGCAGTGCCCAACAGAGCAGAACGAAGGTAATATGACTTCACTAACACTTAGGGCTGACTGAAAAAAATTGCAAATACAAAATATTACAAGTTACTTAATATCAACAATAAGATAATATATATCCGATTCAGTAAAATTACTCCAAAATCACCTTCATGACACTTTCATGATAATTATTACAATTAACAACAAAGGTACCTTTATAGTTAACACAATACTTGTTTGTGTTTAAGCTGCATCATGATTCCCAATTACGATTGTTTGGACGTTTGGTATCATCAGCGGTTGCAGCCAAACTGACAGCAGTTTGGTACAGTTAGTAGTAGTTAATTTTATTAATGGTTGTCAATGTAATCATTCTACAATTTCTGTCGGTTGTATCTCAGCCGCTGATGATACCAAACTAATAACGTAATTATTGATTGAATTTTAATTCAAATTCTCAGTCAATGACTGAGCTAGAAGTGAGTGTCTTGGTGCAGCACAAAAATAATTCAGTACGAAGACATATTTATGGTTTTTAATTAATTTATTAATTTCCATGGCTTCCAACAATTTTTTTTCACATACTTGTTTTGCTGAATATTTTTTGAAAACACAACATTCTTCACCTTTACTGTTTTTGTGAACATATTAGATTTGTTTCGGTGTGGAAAATTCAAATTATTTTCTTTAAATTTCTTCAATTTCCGATTTTAATTGGTTGTTTTGAAGTTCGAAAGTGAATGTTAGCAAAATTGACTGAATCCTAATTTAGGCTATGAAGAAGTTTTCAGTCAAAATGAAGTATTCCAGAATTCTGAATCTTCACACAAGAAGTCAGCAGATCAACTTTCTTATATATAGTAAATTTATTTTTATGAGATTTTTTTTCATAACATTTTTTGGCAGTTTTAAATTTCTGAAATAGTTTCTTTTTCGTAAAAAAATCCAAGCATTGTGAAAGTCTGTCTAGTATTTTGTAGCATGGGTAAACCCAATACCAGAATGTATCGAAGGTTACCAATGAGTGTCCACAGAATGTACACTTCAAAGTAGATTTAAACGACCAACGAAACTGTCCACATTCTTCGAGTTGTCCATACTCAAATATCTTGGTCAAAACTCTTGTGCTTGTGCTCATTTTCGTCAAGACGTGATTCTATCTTGTTCAGCAGATTATAGCACGAGTACAAGGATTCAAAAGTGTCACCATTAAACAGTTTAATCTTCCTCTTGAAGATGATCACTACACCAAAGGTTCCAAACAGTGTATCACAAGTATATTCTTGATATTTTATTTTTTGTTAACAACATTTGGGCTTATTTTATTTTCATTCTTTTTTATTTAAAAATTATCTTTTTATTTCAATCTTTTATGGGTTATTTCTTTTTTTTCATATTGTCTTCAACTCATCAGAATATTCTGACCTTAAAATTTTATATATTATTCTTTTTTTTTCACTCCTAGGTTTCAAGCCTTACATCTGACCATTGCTCACTAATTTCGAACAAAAGCTATTACTTCTTAAGTATATCAAATTATTACAATCTCACAAATTTATATTTTGCATATTTCAGGTGGAGGGCCAAGAATCATGTTTGTGAAGATATCTTTCTTGAGGCACTTTCTGTCTCAAACCACTTGGAGAGAAAATCAATTTCTCTTGATTACATGCCAATGCTACGCAACATGTTTAGAACGGAAACTATTCGAGCATCGAACAACACGAAACGTGGAAATCGTTTCAGAAATTATCTTAAGGATCTAGGTGTTAATTGTAATGCTAATACAGTTAAACTAGCTTGCAACATAATGAAAGAAATAGATTGATTTCATTTGTATAGTAGTGTATAAAAAGTGGTAAATTCTTGAAACACTTTTTGTCGTTAGAATTGTCACCGATTTCTAAATAACTTAGTTTATCATTACTGATGGAAAAAATGGTTTTATTGTATATGTATATAGTTCTTTTTTTTAAGTTTATTAATGTCTTATACTTATTTATTTAAAAGATTAGTAAATCAGGCGAGTGTTCTAATTGGGAAGTTTGTATATGTACATCAATTTTATTAAGGCAAATACTATCAATTATATTTTCTTTAAATTGTAACAAACCAATTCAATAAGACTTATTACAGTTTACTTTCTTCATTTATACAAACCCAATATTCACAGTATCAGTAAAAAATATTGTTTATAAAACTTGTGGGTCAGAATTCTAACTTGCTATTCTTTATCATACTGTCATTCATTCTTCTTATGTTATATTAGCAAGTATGTTCACAACTATTGATTTCAATTTTGAAATGGGTAAGTACCTAAAGACAACATTGAACAAAAATGTGAACGTGACCTTCGAAGAGATTCACTATGTAAAATAACACCACAGTTTAACAGCTGCCTGATTGGTTTGTGAGGTCACTTGAATTTGTTTCCTTGTGCGATAATTTTTATTTTGTGATTACTCCTAAGATATTGATTTGAATTGTATGATGCAAATTGGCTTCTAAAATCCACAAATATTAAGTTCACATGAAATAGAAAACAACGAGGAGTTACCATTCTTGGATGTATTAGTGATACTTTTAGATATATTCCTGATAACTCACACCAATGTTCATAATACAAAACTGCAGATCTGAATTTTCTTGATCATAAGCTTGTTATGTTTCCCTAAAGACGGGTACGATATTAAGAAAAATGGAGGAGGTATTCTTCAAATATAGTAGATAAGTTAATAAGGAAACGTAAATTTATGGATAATCTTTGACTTTTCAAAAAGATATGGATTTTCGAAGTTCATTGTCCTTCCATATGAACCAAGAAACACTTAGATCATATTTTCAAAAAGTTGAACATGAAAGTAGTCACTTCAACAAATGTAAATAACTCTAAAAGACAAAAAGTTGGGGATATATGAAGTAAAAATTACAATTATATGTCATCTGCTCATCAAAGTATTTATTTATACCCAGCAACTAAAATGGAAATTGAATAAGTTATCAAAAAAGTTTGTAAGATATAATCGTCCGGTATTGATGAAATTCCTGGTCATGTTATTAAAAAGATTGCCAATGTGATTTCTGAGCCTTTGAGTCATATAGTTAACTCCACTTTCAATGAAGGGAGGTTTTGTGATATACTGAAAATGTCCAAGGTTTTACCAATATACAAAAATAAGGGCTCTCGATCTGACTGTGCATCTATCGTGCCTATATCGCTACTTAGTCAGTTTTCTAAGATTATTGAATACTGTTTTATCAAAGATTATATGGTTACCTTAAATCATTCAGATTATTTTCTTCTAGTCAGAATGCTTATAGAAGAAATAAATCTACAGTAGGTGCAATTGATCAACTCATTGAACATGCGCTGGAAATCTTGGAAAATAAACAGCAGACTTTAGGATTATTTTTTGATTTGAGCAAAGCCTTTGACCTCGTTGACCATGACATACTGTTACACAAATTGCAGTTTAATGGTATACGTGGCTCTGCATTGAATTGGATCTTACCTGACTGATCGTAGTCAGCTGGTCTGTGTGAATGGAATGAATTCTGAAAGAAAATGTATATCAAGAGGGGTAATTCAAGGCTCTGTTTTGAACCCCCTTCTATTTTTGGTTTTTATAAACGATCTTCCAAAATTTTGTTCAAAAGTTTCCATTACTGTTATTTTTACGGACAATACTAACATCTTGGTATCTGCGGGAACTATGTCCGAAGTAATTGTCAAAGCTAATGAAGTAACTGATCAAGTTTCTGAGTGGTGTTCTATAAATGGTCAGCTGCTAAATCTCAAATGCTCAACTTTGTTACTAAAAATACAACAATTGATAAAAGCTATTTGGTTAGATAAAATAATGAAACTTTACATCAAGTTAACTGTACTAAATTCTTAGGTGTTGATATTGATAATGAACTTACCTGGAAGTTTCATGTTGATAGTGTCAAACTAAAGCTCAGTAAACATATATATTTACTTCGTTGGTTAAAACAAAACAATTTCTCTTGATGTTCTCAAGCTCATATACCACAGTTTAATTTAGTCAGTAATTTCCTATGGTCTCGAACAGTGGGGCTTATCAGCTAAAGCTGATGAAGTTTTTGTCATTCAGAAAAAGGTATTCATAATTCTGGCTGGTGCATCTGCAAGTGATCACTGCAGGCCATTATTCATTCGTTATAGTTTATTAACAATGCCTATGTTCCTGGATAAATGAAAAACCCCGCTAATTTTAATAGCAATTCAAACAGAACATGAAGACCGTTAGTCCTCACTTGGGAGTAGGCAGATCATGACTTGCGAAGACTAGTTAGATTGGAACTCTGGCATCAAGTCATAAACCCTTAAAGGTGTGTCACCACCTCAGTAGACAGATTGTGAACTCAGTGTAGGTCGAGTTTAGATGTGAGGTAAGTAGATAGACATATACTTTATTGTCCAAGAAAATACAATCTTATTGACAAAGCTTGTTAAAAAATCTGGTATATATAACACTTAAAAGAATAAAAGNTTCTTCACGGCATTCTGAGACTAGGCTTGAAGTCACACTTGGGTTCATTATTGCCTCAAGGGTGACCTGGCTGTCATCACAATATATTTTGCCAACATAAAATTTAAATAAAACTATCCAAGTTCAAATTGTTTATTGACCATTATCATAAATTTCAAAAGTATATAATATACATATCAAGTGTATAAAATCACAAATTTCATAAAAATCCAATTATTTGAAAATATAAATTGCATCATAAAAGATCTGTAATGTAAAATTACTTCAATAATTTTCCGCTACTTCCTACCTTTAATGATTTTGATAAGCTTCCATGTATCTGAACACCCACATAAAGATTATTTCATGAACTTCCAGTTTGTGTTATAAAATAGGTTGACTGACTGACTCCACAATTCATTTCATGCCTTCTTTGTAGTATTGTTATATTTTTTAGCTACAACAAAAGTTTGAGAATGTTGAATAGCTTACAGCAAAACAAATCCAAACTTAAATATTGATAAAGTTACCATACAATTAAAAAGTAGTAGACATTATCACTTCAACTCTTAACGTATTAAAATAACACTGTTAGATTTTTCACTTGACAGTTTACAAAACTGCGACATGTGTTTTCACTATACAACAGCTTATTCAACTGTATTCCTACCGACACATCTGAATAATTCAAATCAATAACAACAATAGCTAAATCAGCTTCTGTGATGATGTAAGATGTAGTTTGTAAACACAAGTCCATCTAACACATTAATGCAGGTATGCATGCTAATATAATGTAACAACTCATTCTGATGTTCACCTACTGAAAGTTTGTGCAGGAACAGGTCTCAGTAAAGTTCCTTCTAATTTGTACGATCTTTCTTTCTTTTGCAGGTTAACTTTAACCAAGGAAAAAATTTCCACAATCATTTTTGATTGCGGGAAATACTTCGTTTTTGGAAATATTACTGTCAATCGCAGCTGCTTCTTTCCTGTAGAGCTAGAAGACTGTCCGTTATCTTTAGAACTAGAACGATCCTTCAGTACATTTTCAATTTTCCATTGGGTCCCTTGTTCACAATTCTGAAAAACAAAATTATGTACTTATCTCAAAAACTCAAAATACTGCATAGCAACTGCAACAAAAACTCACATTCTGATATATCCTTACAATACTGCCAGTCTTGAGAACAATCACGTCAAAGGCTCTTTCTTTAACATCAACCACCACACAGTCTTGTTCATATGGTTTATGGTTTTCAATGAAAGTACTCAAATACAGTTCAATACTTGCTTCACCAGCTCGTTTAGCATTATACTTTTGTAGATTACAATTAGCAGCTATTGCAGAAACATAATGCTCATCCCATTCAGGTGATTTACAATAATCTAAAATAGAAGTAAATATAAAAAACACTTAGTGACATTTTCACTCAAACTATTACAGAGAACAGAATCCGGACTTGGTTTGACGAAATTTTGACGCAGCTAATATGAAAAGATTGTTTACATTTTCCTTCTCACTTAATAAAATGTTCATTTTTAATTTAATTGCACTTAGTACAAAAGCTTGCACAATTTGATGGGCCAGAATTTTGTATATCTCGAGTTGATGGAGATATATAGTTTTGCAAAGAAATTTTGAATCTTTCATCTTCTGAATATTTAGGAGGGAGGGTCTGACCCCTCTGGATCTGTTCATTAAGGAGGTTGCGTTAATGGCCATGGTACGATTGCACACGGCTGGTGTAAACCTAGAAGTAGGAATGGGTCGATTGAGGCTGGGCCTATGGACACATGTGGCCTAAGTGCGTGGGCTTACACTCACCCTCCCTACTCTACAGATACAGATATTTAGGAGGGAGGATTATATGGATGACTTTCATTGTCGGAATTCTCATTATTTCAAACCTTCAAAGTTATTTTCAATAGAGAGTGATATACGTTTAATGGCATAAGAGATATATAAGAAAATAGTTGCTTGTTAATTCTTCTGAATCATTGAATGACATTTTGAATAATTTTTGACTGGGCTGTACCCCACAAAATTTTTGTTAACTATGTCACTGTTATTGTCAAATTGCACTTGGATACAATTTTTTTTATTGGTACCAATAAAAACGTTATGTTTACAGGGTGAGCCAAAAATCAACGAGGCAGATATCAGAAATGCTTAAAATTAAAACTAGCGAATAAATATAAAGAAATAGTAAATTTGGAGAGTGACTTGAAAATCCCTAAAAGTTAAGATACTTTTCAAGTTGTCAATAGATGGAAGAACAAAATCAGGTCAGGCAATGGAGCAAACAGTACTGAATTTTATAGAAATGAGGAGAAAACGGGGAAGAAGATGTGGCTTTTTGTGACACATGTCCCTGATGAAGTAAATGAAGAAAACAAAGAAATATATTCACTCTTACACAAATTCAGATATTTCCGTTAAAAAACTTCTAACCAAAACTGAAAAGCAAAATAATCAGTTATTTATGATAGACCTAATTCTTTTTATAGAATTGAAAAACAAAAAACCAACTTCCTATCTCAATATCCAAAAAGAAAGCCTGCAAGGGGACCTCTCAAACTCAGAAGAAATTTTTTATTGGGCTCAAATTACAATTTCTGTTTCATTCAAAAATATCTGTAATAACAAAATTTGCTTGGAATTTTTATCTTATAAAAATATATAAAACTGCATGGTGAGTGGAAAGACCTTCGTATAAAAGAAATGAAGTTCAAAATAAAAAATTCACTTGTCACCCAAGCTTTCTATAAGATTTATGAGGTATTCAATTTCAATTCAAGGGAAACTACAAGTTTCCCATTTGATTCAGCATCAAATTTAGAATTTGATGCTGAATCCAAAAACAAATTGAAAAATCTGGGATATCGTTTAAAAAAATTGGCATCGGTGTCACGACGCCCTAACGGATGACGCCTAGTGCTGGATCTCAACGTAAATAAGAGTGCCCTTTGACATTAAAATCATCTGCTTTCACGAAATATGGATATTCTCTTTCTTATTTTCCAGATATTTGCCGATTGAGTTTTATATGGGACACCATGTATATTATTATTTTCAAAAAAAAATTGTTTCTAAAAAAAAATTGATATGCTGAATAATCAAATTTAAACTATTTTTGAAACGTTCATGCAAATTATAGAACAGCTGTAAAAATTCTAGATTTACAAATGTTTATAAATTAATGAATGTTGTCTTATATTACTATTACTATTATTATAATATGCAAAAATGAATACAGTTCACCAACTAATTGTACTTTTTATCGTTGTTTTAATGAAACTGAGTATTTCGAAGTTATATCTTTTACTTCTAAAGTATACTCAGGAGAGAACTTTTCAGTTTGCACTTCACTACACTTATACAGATTCTTCATTGAACTCGATTTGATTTAGTTTTTCATATTTTGAAATACTCATATAAGTCCAGGAAACAACCATGCCTAAACAAAAAATATCTCTCGATGAGCAGTATATTTGTCATAACAAATAGTGATGATTTCGAATTTGACTAGTTTGGCCTTCCATTGTCTGATGATAAGAATGAATAACTGAAATATCTGTTTTAATTTCACGTTTTATTGCTCATATATAATTGATATTTTAGCTATTCATTTTAATTTCATTCGTTCTTTTATAGATTTCGAATCATATTAGACAATGGAAGTCCTAACTAGTAATATTCGCCATGAAACATTGTCAACCACTTTCAAACAAGTGATGAAATGGAAGTCCTAACTAGTAAAATTCGCCATGAAACATTGTCAACCACTTTCAAACAAGTGATGATTTTGACGTGACATCTTCGACAATTTACCAGAAATCTTTTATTTGCACGTTTCAAAACTTACTCAAACTTGCAGCCAACAAACGGTGTACCATCACATCAGCATATCTTCTAATAGGAGACGTAAAATGTGTATAAATTGGAACACTCAAGGCGTAGTGGTTGAAGTCCGATACTGATTCTACTGCGGAACTGGCAAAATATTTAGCTCTCGTCATCGATTTTGCCGTAAGATGATTTAACACCGCCTGTCGACATATTCCTGACAACCAAAAAAAATTACTTTCTACTCCATTCCTTCATGATTTATTACTACCTGTATAATCACTGGTGATATATTTTTTTAAGGAGCTAGCAATATTACCCGATGAGGATATATCCAAGTGAATACCGTAAGTTGCTAAATTATTCTTCAACTCTTGCAACATGGTCTGCTTTGGTGGTTCGTGACATCTCAAAAAAGCCTTATCAGGAAATGATTCATATATTTTTTCAGCTACTGAAATATTTGCTAATAACATGAATTCCTCAATCAGTCTATGTGATTCTTTATTCTCATATCTAAAATATTCCTTCGGCTGACCTGAACTTGGATCTAAGTTGAAAGACAATTTCACTTGATCTATTTTCAGAGCGCCATTTTGAATTCTATTGTTTCTCAATCTTACAGCAATACTGTGCAAAATATTCACAGTATTAACTAAATCTTTAGGTTCAAAACCATTGTGAATTTCAGGAAAATCTTCAACTTTAAAGCTCTTATCAGGATTTTCAATTATCAATTGCGCATGCTCATAAGCTAGTTTCGTACAGGAATTCATTATGCTTCTAGTGTACCTTTTATTGATTATATCGCCTTCTTTTGTCATTTCCCAAAATACAGAAAAAGATAGTCGATCTTCCCCTGGTAAGAGAGAACAATGTAAACATAATTCCAATGGCAACATATGATAAACAGTTTCTACCATATATATAGAAGTAGCTTTTTTAGAAACTAATTGGTCTAGTTCAGTCCCCTCCTCTAAATAGTAAGATACGTCAGATATGTGAACTCCAATTTCATAATTTCCATTTTTCAAAGTTTTAACAGAAACTGCGTCATCTAGATCTCTAGCAGTTGCAGGATCTATCGTGAATACACATTCCTTCCTAATATCCTCACGGCGTTTTAATTCTGACCTAGGTATATTCTTCCACTGAGGTAAATATTCCCTTACTTCTTCTCCAAATGGAGTTGTATCTAAGCAAAATTCTCTTAGAATTGATAAACTTTCTGATTTGAGATTTCCTGAAAACCCTATTATTTCAGTTAAAAACCCATAAGCGTAAGCTGGAACAACCCATTTTGTAATTTTTGCTAACAACAAAATTTCCTCGAAAGCTTTCGGATCATTTTTGAAATTATTTGGCCAATTCACTTCTGGGATTCGAAGCAGAGGGCATTTTGAGTCTCGAGGATAAAAAAGGGCATATTCACAGTTTCCAGAATTCCTTGGCTTCAAGGAGCCTATTACAGTTCTTGGGTGTATCTTCAATGAAAAAAAAAAGTTGATATCATGTCAAAACAATAACAATAGTAAGTTGATAATCATAACCATGTAGTGAAAAAAAAATTGAGAAACCTTTTCAATATTTCCAAATCCACATTAATGTTGTCCAACTGAAATAAAGATTATTTGCTAAAACATACTAAATTCACATCTAAGTCTAATATCAACATTTTTTTGAAATTGTTGATTATTGTTCACTGAAGCGAGCTTGTCAAGTTTCGAATGGCAATACAGTTGGGATCTTCAGGAATACAAAAGGAAGGTTCTCAAAGACAAAATGAATTCTCTAATCATTTGAAAAGCAAACAGAATGAAAAGAGCTCTGTTTTAAAATAAAATATAAACCACGCGGAAAAATCTGTCAGGCATAGATTCTTGAAAAATCAGGTAAAATAAATTCTCTATCTTATTAAAAAATAAGCGTATTATTCACAAAAAAAATATATAAAACCTATTTAATTTATGGGAGTGAGCTTTGGACATATACGAGTAAATGAACCCTATCATTTACCAAAAAAAAACAATTTCTTATGAAGGCCTTTTCTAAGAACAAAGTACAAAATAGTAACTGGTGGAATAATGGGTGCAGAGAATGTCTCAATAAAAAAGATATCTTCACATCAAACTGGAGCAGTTATATCCCCAAGTCATCACATTAGCCGATTGAATTTCATGAAACTCTGATTTCTGATTAATAATCTGAAGAAAATATCCCATTACAATACTGAATATCAGGAGCACTGAAAGTTGTTGGCTCCTGTAGATAAGGGTATTTGATTTTTTTGTAATTTACTACTGTTGGAAAATAATACTATGTTTTGGCATTGTTACATGATGTAAGAGTATTTAAATCCACCAAAATGTGTTACAATTGGTGAAAATCTAGAGAGCGAGAAAAAGTAGCAGGGGGTCAAGTTTGGTGAATACGGTGGCTGAGGCATGCTTACAGTGTTGTTTTTGGACAAAAAATTATGCACAATGACAAGCGATCGGATGCATTATCGTGATGCAAAAGCCATAAATTATTTTTCCACAATACCGAACTGTTAGTATTGCTTAGTATTGAGGCGCATAACTATAAGATAGCACTTCTTATTGACCATACCACCATGTGGCAAGATTTCCTGATGCACTACGCCACACTGACCAAAACCTTGATATTTGATTGAACTTTGCGTGCTTTTTTGGTCTTGGCTCTCCAGGGCTCTTCCATTAGGACGATTGGACTTTGGTTTTAATGTCATAATATACCCATGATTTTTCACCAGTTATGACCCTTTTAAGCAAATCTGGATCGCCGTTGACGTTATTGAAAAATTCCTGATCAATGCTCATGCGACTATTTTTTTTGGTCAAAATTCAGCAATTTAGAAACGAACTTTGCTGCCACATGCTTCATGCCGAAAATTTCTGAAAAAATTGCATAGCACAAGCCAATCAATATGCTGACATCCTCAGCAACTTCTCTAATAGTGATTCGACGATTCTCCATAACAATTTTCTTCACTTTCTCAACATTTTCATCGGTTGCTGATGTGCTGGAGCATCTAGGGCGAGCCATTCACATTTTCACGACCTTTTGTAAAAAGCTTGTACCACTTATAAATGTTTTTCTGACTCAGAGTACAATCACCGTATGCCACTGTCAACATTTAAGAGTGTTTTTTGAGTGCTTCATTCCATTTTTCACACGCAATTTGGTGCAAATTCTTTGATCCATATTTTTTGATGGCAGAAAATTGCGGAACACGCAAAACACTTTGAACTTTTATGCCTCTCACCAAAAAACTGAACATACTAAAGCTGAAACTATGAACATAAACAAATAAAAAAATCGCTAATCGAATGTAAGTAGCCCACAAAATTTGTACCTACACCTTTTTTTTTTAACAGACCTCGTATATCTGAAAATATCTTCACAATTTGTTTGACCCCAACTCATACAACAGTGGATAGGCAAATGAATGGATTTTTGCAATAGGCAACATCATTTCATCAAATTAGAAATTAATTATGAATCTTTATCATTCCTTATTTTAACCAAAACGATGATGTCCTTTCTCGAATAGATTACAAAGAATTTGCAGACATTTCATTAATAAAAGGAAACCACTAGTAATCTCTCTTGGAGTACCTGTTTTTCCAACCTTGAATACAGGATGTAACAATATGGACCTGATTTAAATAAATCAAGTGATTTGAAGACTTGAAAATTGTAAGTAATATAATTGAACAGGAAGTCGAACAATCCTTTTACAAAAACCATGACACATGTTTTGCTACAAAATAGCTTCCTGTGAGCTATAAGCTCACAGGATTACATTAATTAAAATAGAAAAATCAAACATCATACTTTTCATACTTATCAAAAGAAATGATACCCTACTGAAGAAAAATGCTGGCGAAACAATAAACATTTTCACAAACTGAAGACTGTCAGGATCCTATTTTTTATTCCAAAAAAATTTTTATATTCTTTGTTTCCTGGACATGCTGAAAACATGTATGTATTGACAAAAGGCTGAGACAGTTACTCAAACAACAGTGATCAACAATAACGAAAAAAGACAAATAAAATGGAAACTGACTGTAAAAATTTCAATCAATTTTTCAAATCATTTTATTTTTCTGTTAATCAAAATTAGCAGCAAATTGACCCAATTCAATTTTGTGTGTCAGAAAGCCTTAAAAATACAAACTTAAACACCTGTCTGTCTAGGAACACTGTTTATATATCTCATCACCTCAATCTCACCCCAGGTTTGATGTTCCTCTGGCTATTTCTAAAGATTTTGAATTTCAATTAGTTATCCTGTGTAAAAGGTTGGAACCTCTGGCGGAAAATAAATCCAAAACAAGCATTTTTTCCAATTACCAGAGATACAATTTCTTCTTGATACACGTTTTACAAATTAAGTTGGCGTCTTCAGAAAATGAAGAAAATCCTTCGTTTTATTTATTCATTTCAACTTTTTTTGGAATCATGCTTTACATGATTTCATCGTAGATATTCTCTTAATATTTGTTGGCATTTTTTGAAGATCCTGTCATAAACAATTATGATGTAGTTTGCTGGAAAAATATGTGAGAAGGAGGCGTGTGAAAGTGAGTTCCTGAAGTAAGTACATTTTTTTTAGTTTTGAATGGCCGTATCTTCGAAAGGAAACCAGGGCACTGTTTTGACTTCAGATTCGTGATTGACAATAATAAATAACTTTTCAAAAACTTACACAAGACATTAAAACATGTAATAACAAAATGTATTTACCTTCTGTAATATATAAACTACTTTTGCAGTTTTATTTCCATCAATCCAGTCAGCTTCTGGTTTAATCTGCAAAACTACTTCATCTCCATCCAACGCTCGATTTCTATCCATTACTGATGTTAAATAGTAATCAGGTTTGGTTGTGTCTTCATTATTGACATAACAGTCACAAGATTTTCGTGGATTTATTCTTACAAAACCTTTTATAAGGGTGCCACTGGCTAATCCCACATTGACCTCCTCATGCGAGAGATAATTAGGAAAAGGTGTTTCATCATACTCCTTATCAGATTTATCTCTCCTCTTTTTGGTTTTTTTCGTTTCTTGCAATGGAAATTTTCTAGATTCTATTTTAGACTTTGATTTTTTGTCCAACACATTAAGTCTTGGTTCAATAAGGTTATTTGATAAATGGCAAATGGTGGATTGGTCAGTAGTAAAAACACAATTTTTCGATCCAATACTTACAAAGGATTTCAGATTAATATACTTTTTTTCACAATTTTTTCTTTTGATGAGCTTACCATCAGAATGGTCTGTTACCGGTTTAATAATTAAAGTGAACTTTTCCAACTTCTGTTCAGATCTTGTATCACTCTTACGATTTCTGGAGTGAGATAAAGATGAATTGAAAGGAACTTTGGAATTTACTGAGGGAGAATGGCTGCCGTTTGATGAATTTGTACCCAAGGCATTGTCAATTTCATCTTTAATTTTTTTACGTTTTGGTTTCCTTCGAGTACGCTTGGATTTTTCTTCCTTCTTCCTGTTTTCAACATTGGAAGAATTGGTCACTATTCTACTTGGTCCTGCGCTGAATAATACTTGATTTGTTGGAGTACTATGTCCTGCTGCATTATTAACGCCTAACTGTAGAACCTCAAAATAATCAACGAAATTATCTGCCATATTTCCTGATCCACTAGTCATCATTCTTCGTTCTTGAGTCCATAAACAATAGTTTCTATATCATTCCCCTGTAGGTACTCAGAAATATTTAGCTCAGCTTAAATGTCTATTTGCATATCTAATACAAATTAGAAATGCTCTTACTGGCATACGCTATACAATAAAACTGAATTGATTTTTTTTTTGTGTCATAAGTACTTAGTTTTTTTCTGAGATAACAGATTACATTCTTAAAAAAAATACAGCAGTTCAATATTTAGCCAAAGATTTGGGTATACTACAATCACAGATTAATATTCTATGGCGATGTTGACAATTTAACGTACGCATTTTTGATAGTTAACCTAACCCAGGTTGCACACATTCTGTTTTCATAATAGCAGGTGCGTTTTGTGGGCACCAAACATTATAGCGAATTTTTGGTAAAACTTGTGTCAGACAAGTTTTAAACTGGCATAAAACTGAATCGACAAAAGAACACACAAAAATAGTGTTTCATCTCCTGGAAAAAATAACGCCGGCCGACGCTGGTCATCGTGAATGGATTGTGACTTGGCCAAGGTCACGCTTACGGCTCAGGAGCACGTAAACGTAAACATACAACACGGCTTCCGCTACTGCCCATGTCTCCCGTCAACTGTGCATTAATTTGATGGGGAAAATTTGAAATATATAGGTATCTGATGGTGAAAAATTACTTTTCCAGCAAATTAAACCAACAAATTACCCAGCAAATTAAACTCAAAACAACATAAAGCAATGAAATAATTGAAAAGCTTTTATAGCGCTGATCTCTGTGTTTTATAGGTGTCAGTCGAAATAAAATACACTTTATTACTTAACAAATTTATTACAAATACACTTTACAAAAAAATAATGTGATTCTATTGATTTCAAATTAAAAACTATTTGAAAGTAATTGTGCAGGATTGCAGGATTTTTAGAAATATTAAGTTTTTACTGCGACTGCAGAATTTCTTTCATTTCAGATATATCATTGTTGTCACCCTTTTTAAATACTTCCTCATTAATAACTCTTTTCTTTTTAGTTGAAACAAACTGAAGTTGCTTTTCAACTTTTTTATTTGCAGGTTCCTTATTAATAAAGTATTGTGTTCATTACTTTCAAACTCAAATACCTTTTTTGTGTGCTTCACTTCTCCCTCACTTTGATTATTGTTACAGTCAACAGAAGATGCCGAGAATACCTAGTGTATTGGAATGAATATAAACCTCGTTGCTCAATTTTACCCCTGCTGATTGAGTTTGATTCTTCAGATCCGGGTTAGATTGCGAACTTATATTGAATAAATTTGTATGTATTTGTATATAGTGCAACATGATGAATGTATCTACATATGGTGAAATAGCCAGCACATACACATTTGAAAGCATGTATACAAATATTACAAAGGACGCATTTGAGATTACAGCACATTAAGTTTTCAACTGCATTTTCAGTATCGATATAGGAATTTTTGTTGTCAGAAATGGTCCAGCTTCTATTATCATCGTTCATTTTGAATTCACTGTTTGCAGCTTTCATATGTCTTTTGATAATTTTATTATTCTCTCAATAATTTTATCTCTAATAGACGGGAGACATGCGAAGTAAAGGAAGCCGTCTTGTATGTTTACGTGCTCCTCTCAACTCGACTTACGCTTCGTGATCGTTCTACATGTAGCGTCGCTTCGGAAGACTTTTAGCGACTTCCCTATCGGCTTCCAGAGACTTCCATATAAACACTAATAATACGCAGAATGAGGGAGTTTGAAGTTCAGTTGAAAGTGCAGCATGAAGTGTTCTAATACTAACATGGAGATAGACATTTGAGTGTTATTTCGAAGTTTCTGTTGAAGTGTTTGTGTTGTATTGTCAGTGTAGCAATGAAATAAAGTTAAGTTTAATTATACACTGTAGTCAATTACAGTCGGAGAAAACGTAACAATATTGATATTTGAACTATATCAGTAAGAGAAAAAAAGCCAATTATAGAAAAACTACAACGAAGTATTTTATCCACCTTCTCAATAGAAACAAAAAAAGTCCTATATATTTTTCAATATTTTCAGTTTTTAGATCCGATTTGTTGAGCTATGTTAAAAATTTTCTTAATACAATAAAAATTCCAAGTCTATTCACTAAAACTCATAATTTCTCATATTAAGAATTATTATGGTTATACAAAAAATATTCGAATAATTTTTATAGAACTCCTCGAAGTAGATAAGATATTTTTCTAGAATGTTTTCAAATCATCTGTGGTTTTGGAGTCATGACCAAAATTCTACTTTTTCTATAACTATCGATATTCTTTGAACTATTGAAGCTACAGAAAAAAAATTAATGAACTATTTTGTACAGCTTCCTGAGAGGAATAAAAAAAGCCGAGTAACCTGTTTTGTCACTCAAAATATTTGAAAAAAGTCAATTTTCGCGGCATTTACCAATTATGCCAATGAAAAATTTTGAAACACTGAGTTCGACACTATCTACATCAACTATAATTCTTGGATTGATTGGTGTATGGCACCATCGAAACAAATCAAAAAACGGATGTCACAACTTAAAATACATCAAACACTAAAATAACTATGAGCTGGTTCGATGAGCTCATTAACAAATTCAAGAACTCACTTCTTTACAAAAACTTCGCTGATATTACACTCTTCCATATTGTAAAGTTATGGGATACTGGGCTAATATTTCCTTCCACCAGTGTGAAGCATGTAAATAACTGAAAACCACCAATCGTTTAAATTGAGGCCACAGTTTATTATTCTGTGAGTTTATTATTCTGTGCCGAGGCTGCCCGTTGGCTATAGACGAGTTCTCAAATTCACCGATTGATTGGTATATTATTGGTCAATTTAAAACCCTACCGCGTGTCTATTGGTTAAAGCAATCCTTCAGAAATTTTGTTGAATTTAAGAACTCACTTTTTTTTCATTTATAAACTACAACAAAATCAGCTGTTCCATACCAACAAAAATACAATATGGTTGTTTAATTGATGTTTGCCTTTGTTTGGCAAGGTCAGTCTTTGTGCAAAAAATAATATTTAATTTTGAAAGAGATTTTTACAAGATTCTATATCAAGTTCTTCTGCCCGTTGTTGATAACAGTAATACTTGATTGTATCAGTTTCTCGGAGTCATGTCTAGCCAAAACAGCCCAAGTTTGCCTGCGCCAGGCCTTGAAGAAATGTCTGGGTCTGTGTCACCAGAGATAAAAGAGCCTAAACAATATTTTGTGAACTTCAATCAGGATAACACGTAAGTTACTCAAATGATGATTGTTTTGAAATTGACGCGTAATATTTAACATTTATTTGCCTATGGTCTTATCCACCAGTTCTAAGTATACCTTGAAGAAAAAGCATTCCACACAATATTAGATTATACTGTCTTAACTGAACATTTTGTATTTTGAAAAACAATGATTAGAGTTCAGGATATAGTAACTGTTCTTGGTGCATCGTTTATTCGCAGTCTTGGCTCTTCGGACTCAAATGTTTCTGTTGATGAAATTTTGGTAATTTTGCATTATAGTAGCTTGTGCGAAATTTCATAATTTTTTTCATTATAAATCATGGATAATGTCCTCTGGTAACAAATTTGAAATGAAAATGTATTCAATTGAATCTAAACTCTGTTCATCCAACAAACAAATTAACCCAAACAATGATAGATGCGTGATCGAAGCATGATCACCAAGCACATTGGCATCTGTTGGATAAAATAAACAAGCCTCCTTACGCTGGCCAATCAGATTTAACTTCAATCGACTGGCGGAATTCATTCAGGTATATCGCTTACAGCGTCGGAGTGGTGAGTTACGTTGTAACGCTTGTGGTGTGTACCTATATGGTATTTTAAAGTTTTAAATTTTTGAAATGTTAAGTACTGATACGGCTGAAAAAACTGCTAATTTGTGTCCCTACACTACACCTAAAAAATGTTCAACACCCATCCACATATTATTAAAAAATTAGATAAAATTTAGGTTAGTGGGACTCTGTACAAGCAGCCTTGTATGGAAGATCATGTGCACTATGCACGATAATGTTTTGGAGTACTCTTTTGCTTGGATTGACAGGGTATGCTACTCGTGATTCAACCTTCCCGAGTGTAAAAATGTTGAAAATTCTGGTCTTTCTAGAGATAATTTTAATAATATATCATGAAATTTGAATTGAAAGGGGTATATTTTTTTTCTACAACGAAGTATTTTATCCACCTTCTCAATAGAGAATATCCTGAGAAATATGAAAAGACCAAATCCAGTGTTGTTTCTATTCGTGACTATTCTTGATAAAGGACAATGAATTCCATAGTTACAACTATGGTAATCTATTACAAAAGTTATATTTTGTTTATATTTTATGTTCTAGTACTGAAAGGAACATGAAGATTCATTTGGGAAAGAATAGTTGAACAATTCATTTTAGAATTAAGCAATTTATGAATCAATATAATATCTGTATAGTGACTTGGCGTAATGGTAGTGCGCCTGACTAACAATCAAAAGGTGGTGAGTTCGATCCCCGATATTTATTATTTTTCTTGAGAGAATTTATCTAGTTGAAGTTGGGATAATTCTGACGAACTGCGGAAAGCAGTTCATATGTGGCTCGAGGAGTTAATAACATTGCCTATTCAGAACACAAGACTAATGACCAAAGTAGTTGATGCTGTTGATACCAAAAAAAATATATGTATGTGCTCTGTGTACCTATACTAAGTTTCGGTTTACCAGTAAAAGAACAAATTTTTGAGGAGTGATCACTGAGAGGCATTCTTTAGTCTTAATATTAATGATTTAGGGAAGGAGTGTTTCGTATAAATGAGCCATATTTTAAAAGAGCCATATCACCTTACAAATCACTTTCGTCTGAATCATCATATGCAGAGACTCGAACTGTCGGCAGATAATCTGTGTCGCCTCTGTTTGGAAAATAATGAAACGGGAGAGCTATTACTCTGTGCCTGCCCTGCTGCGGACCAAATCAAGTTTTCAGAGTTTGGTGGAGCCATATGAACTAATCGCAGAAGCTGGGTTTATTTGGTCGAGTTTGAATAGGTGTGAGCCACAATAAACCCTTGCGGGTTGCGGTGGAGGGTCGAATAGACCCACTCACTTTTGACCTAACCTAACCTCAGTTCGTTTTATCGTTTTTGAGCCAATCTTGCTAATGCTGATACATATTTTTACGTGACGCTAGATGTCTTGTCACTCACAAATATTTGACAGTTCATCGAAAGCAAATGAAGCAGTTATAATGTATTTAAGATTTTATGATCAGAAAGAAAGTATCTTTACTCATTCTCTTTGTTTTTTTGTTGTCACTTGTAATGAGATAGTAGTGAAATAGTAGATAGTAAATAATCATAACATGGTTTCATATTCATACATCACCTTTCTTTATATATAGCTAGTTGTTGCCCGCGGCTTCGCCTGCGTAGAATTTGGTAGTTGTACTAATTAGTACTATGTTGCTGTATCGCTGTTGTTCCAATGTTTTGGCAGAATCAGAATCAACGAACTTAGGCGTGCGCAGCGTTATAGAACGGTGCTTTCAAAAATTGTTCTACAGCACCATCTAGTGGCGAGTTACAGAAACATTGATAGCCTAAAAACCTTCTCTATGAAAAATTACTTACACGTGTCAAGTTTCATCACGATCGGTTGAGCGATGTAGAAGTTTATCCCTTACCAACCAACCAACCAACAAACATCCATTTTTATATATTAGATTATTTCACATTAAATGATTTCATTTCTCACTGGTTTTATAGGAAAAATCAAATTATAAAAATGATGAAAGAGCCATACGGTGCTCTTTCATGTCCTGCTCTCACATAACTGACTATCTTCAAGTTTTTGATATTTTATTTTCAATAAAATTTTAAATTCAAATAGTTTTATCTACTTGCAGAAAGCAAATGCGAGTATGTCACCTGAAAACAATTGGCGGGAAAAATAGATCTGGAATAAGATTATTGTGAAGCAAAATGCATAAAAATGCCATGGTGTATTCACTGGGGCCTCTCCCTATGCAAAATATTTTGTGAAAAACACCTGATCTAGGGCACTCTTGATTCTTCACAAAACAAAGAGATCCAACGTACTTCGGCATTTCATTTGCAGAGGCGCTAAGCGCACAACAATGTTTACATTTGAAAATTATTCTTGTACCATCTATCGTCATGTGTACAAAGTTGGATCAAACTCATTTCTCATATCTAGAATTTTTGACGAAACAAAAGCTCGCGAAGTTCTTCTGAAAAAAGAGTCAGTGAAAAATGGAAGTTTCAGTGAAAACAATGTCAAACAATGTTATGAATTTTTCTGGGGATTCTCATCTTCTACAACCTTCACATTCTTCTTCATAAAATTACCTTGTATTTACAATAAATATATTACATATGCCATTTATTAGTGACGAAACAGTATGCAGCACTATTATCAACCATCCCAAAGCAATTATATTTCATGTTATAATAATATGTAATTTTATGTAGAACAATGGTTCACCAGGATCTTTTGAATTGATAAATAATAATAGTCACATTTCCACCACATTTCAGTCATAAACATACATACAACAAAATGGTTCTAGTCATCTCCTGATGATGCTCACTTAGTTAACGAAACTCTTGTTGAAAGAGTATTTTGTTCTAGTGTGGGAAGAGTGTTTTCAAAAGATTTATAACTACATATTTTAACATCTCCAAAAAACTGGCTTTTTCATGCCACTGTCCCTACTCTCTCTCTGAGAGGGTTCAAGTCGGAATAAATAATCTTGTTTTGTCCGTTTTTATGAGTCTACTTTAAATTGTGATATCTCTGTAAATACTTATTCAATTTAATCGAAATAAGCACCATTTGAATCAGTGTACTTTTGCCTACGTAACACAAGTCGATTAATTCGCATCAGCATCCAAATTGCGTGATCGGGATTCGATGAAGTCGACGAACGACGGTAAAGCGGTGAAATTTCTTTTGCCTTCGTGACAACTTACTTATGTGAAAGTGGGTTTTTACACCTGGTCATGATGAAGACAAAATACAGGAATCGACTGAACTATGATTATGAATTAAGATTGAAGTTGAGTAAAATTGCTCGCAGAATCGACTCCATTTGTGACAAAAAACGAGCCCACTCAATACATTAACGTACCCGCCGGCGGGCACCAAGACGTGCGAACCAAAACATCCACTATGACAGCGGACGTTAGCCGGATTGATTATATTATTTAAGTACATATTTATGTTTTTTTTTTTCAATATTTTAATAGAATAAGCAAGCAAGACTATTGTAAGTATTTGTTTTTAAATGTTCGTTCTATTACCTAACGCTAAACATGTGTGTGTATTGTTTTTTGTATTATTTTTTAATAAAATGCCTATGGTCAATAGCCAGTATTTTTTAAAGGGGTTCGCCGTGGTCTTGAATATCTTATAGGGGTACGTGGGACAATAAGTTTGAGAAACCCTGTCGTAAAGGATCGTTTTGATTTTTATGTTATTCCAGTCGGTCCGCAAAGTTTGCAAGCTACTATTTCTTCTTCAGTCATTCGTAACACTAACTTCACTCCTTTTTTAAACAATACTCATTATAGTTTTTTGCATGTCGATATCATTTTTGCTTGTTCACCTTCAATAACACCAATGAGTATTGCCATAGCCATTCCATCTTGTTTCTTTTGAGAATTCTTGTGGCTTCAGATACAATATACCTACTTAGATTAGATTGTGAAGAATTGCCAAATTTCTGATTGACTCTGCCGTTATTTCTACATCTACTCAACTTTTTTATACCTCAGGTACATACTCAATTATAGTCACCTAGAGCATACATTACACATTGTGTCTTAAATTGAGGTACTTACTATATATTCAAAGTATACAGAGGGTAAAAGTCAAATGCAATAAATTAATCATTTCGGTTATTATATATATTTTTAAAAATCCCGAAACACGTCAAATGTAAATTATAATTTGACATTCTTCAACGTAAAAATGCCACCCCTATCTTCAACCCCCTTCGAATGACAGGTACAACCCCCAATTTTTGAAATGGAAAGTATAGGTTTGTGATATATCTATGAAAGGTCTCTTCATTCTCTATTCAAAAATGTTATCGCTTTCATGTTTATTGCAACAATTAAGATAAAATAAATTAAAATCGTGTGGTTGCCGAATCTAGATAAAATACACTCAAAAACTAAAATGTAATGCAAAACGTAATGAAATGTAAAATACGAAAAAG